TTGTCATCTATTGATCCCATTCAATGAAGAGGGTCCGAAGAAAGACTGATTCCTTCTCGCTCTTATACTTTCAGAGAGAGAGAGAGAGAGAGAGAGAGAGAGAGAGAGAGAGAGAGAGAGAGAGAAGAGAAAATTAATATCTATCTATTTATTCATCTTCGGGGAAAAAGGCCATTTTATTAAAAAACTTGTTAACGTACACCGATCATTTATTAATCAAATTGTCCTTATTACTATTACTCTATTTTACTTTTTTTCCCCAGCATGTACTAGAATTTGCGGGCGAGGGCGTAGGCGTGGGCGCAGGAGAGATTAAATCGGGCTCGTTTCCATCATTAGCATTGAGGCGAAGGCAGGTGTCCATCACACAGATGCTAATGGCTTCCCAATCTCGCTAATGTGTGTTCTATTGTACTCAAAGAGGGAAGGGAAAAATAGGCTTTGTGAGTGTGCCGAAATTGCGGAAATGTATTAATTTTCTTCATTGTTGCTGTTGTTTTTTTATACGGATATCAAAGCCTGTAATACGAAGCGAGACGAAACGAGCGCATACGGACACGTGATCGCGCGAGGGATCACGATGATAAAAGTCTAACTGCCATTCTTCCTTTTTTTCCGCATATATATTTTATTACTCCACCTCCTTTTATTTATTTGTAATCAATAGCACCATCCCTTCCGATATATCTTAATCCCCCCTTCCATTACCATGAATCACAGCTCTCCCTTCCTCTGCCGGTCCCAAATGATCCCATCTCGCCCAGCGCCATTTTACACTCACTCTCCCTTCTCTTACTTCCCTTCACCCCCCCAATACACTTTTTTCACGAAGGGAAATAAAAATACAAGAAAAGAGAGAGGAAAATACATTTACACAACAAATAAAACAACATTTAACGCCTCATGTACGTACGAACAACCAAGAGAAAAAAAGAGAGGGTGAAAAAGGGGGAAGAAGAGAGAGAAAAATGAAAAGAAGCCAAATGACACGTGAATGAAATACACGCAGAGTTATTGGTAGTTACTGCTGGTTAACCGACCGACGCGCTCGTCCTTCTTAATTACTTGTCACTAAGGAGGTGATACAATCTCTCTCTCTCTCTCTCTCTCTCTCTCTCTCTCTCTCTCTCTCTCTCTCTTCGCTTCATTTCCTCACTTTTCTCTCCTCTTTTATCTATCCCTCCCTCCCCTCTCTTTCTCTAAGAAAAAAAGGAAAAAAATCGGGCATAAGGCAGAGAAGGGGACGGAAGATAGGCCGATAAGAATGGGAGAGAGAGGAAGAGAAGTGAAGAACAGGGTAAGAGATAGGGAGAGAGAGGAGGAAAATGAAGAAGGGGAGGGAAGGGAGGAGGAAAAAAGGGAAAATGAGAGAAAGTACAAGGGGAGAAGAGAGGAGGACGGGAGGAGGCAGCATGAGGGAAAAATGCTGATGGAAGGAAAAGGGGAAAAGAGGAGAAATGAGAAAGAGAGAAAGATGATGAGGGAAGGGAAAGGAGAAAAGAGGAGAAAGGAGAAAGAGAGAAAGATGATGATGGAAGGGATAGGGGGGAAATAGGGTAGAACAGGAAGAGGGAAAGATGATGATGGAAGGGAATAGGGGGAAACGAGGGGAAAAGAGGAAGAGGGAAAGGGAAAAAGAGGGGAGAGGAGGCCGAGGCGCGGGGTTAAGGGGCATATCCATGGCTGCACTCAACTGTCAATGGCTCGTGTCAATATTATATATCCAGGGCCATTGTAAACCGCCATGACTCACCCGAAGATAAAGGGGGGGGAGGAGGGGAGGGGGAGGGGAAAAGGAAGCGGGGAGGAGGGAGAGAGACGGAGGGGAGAGAAAGAGAAAGAGAAGAGAAGGGGGGGAGAGGGAGGGGAAAAGGAAGCGGGGAGGAGGGAGAGAGACGGAGGGGAGAGAAAGAGAAAGAGAAGAGAATGGGGGGAGGGGGAGGGGGAGGCATTGTATGGGAGAAATGTAGAGAAACAGAAGGGTAGAATGAAAGGAGGGGAAGAGGAGGGGGGGTAGGGAGAGAGGGAAGACAATGTAGAAAAAAATGGGGAAAGGGGGGGGGAGGGGGAGGGGGGAGAGAAAGGTTGACATAAGGGGTTTATGAAGACGAAGAGGAGGAGGGGAGGAAAGCGGGGGGAGGGGGGAGAGACGAAGATGAAAGGTAGAGACAAAGAGAAAAAGAGAAAGAGAAAGGTGGGGGGGGAAAGGGGGAAAGGGGAGGAAGGGGAAGAGAGAGAAGGGGGGGGGGGGTTGTCACAGTGACTCATGGCGTCTCCCGCTTAATGGCGCACTTAAGTAGGGGGTAGGGGTGGGGGAGGGGAGGGGGTAGGGGGGAGTTGTTATGGTGCCGACGCCCTTTCAGATTTGCACAAACTTCGGCCGGTGACGAGGAGAAATAACAAGAAAAAAAAAAAAGAAAGAAAAGAAAAGAAAAGAAAAAAAGGAATCCACAAATATGGCACAGATCACTTGTAGAAGAAATAAAAACCTATGAAAAAAAAATCTCGAACTCGAATGCGCTAATTCCCTCCCCCCCTTTATTTCATTTTGGCGGGAAATTCGAACGGGACACCCGGCGGCTCCTTCATCTTGCTCTATATCCTATTTCAACCTCCCCTCCCCCCCCAACCCTTCCCCTTCTCCCCCCCCCCCAACCCTCTACGCAATGAACCGCCTATTTCACGTGACAAATTGGGTGCCATTTAGTGTTTTAATGAAGCTAATCTCCGCGGCGCCCACCATGTCAGCTGGGGCCAATGGTGACGTCACTTCCAGCGCCGTTTACGCTTAAAACGAACTGGAGCGGAAATCAAATCTGGAATGCGTGGGCTGCGTATGCTGTGTGTGTGCGTGCGTATGTGTGTGTATGTTGTGTGCGTATGTGTGTGTATGTTGTGTGTGTGTGTGTGTGTGTGTGTGTGTGTGTGTGTGTGTGTGTGTGTGTGTGTGTGTGTGTGTGTGTGTGTATGTGTGTGTGTGTGTGTGTCTGTGTTTGTACGCGTGTCCTCAGAGGCCGCACCCCCCCCCCCCCCCGCGCGTATTAATAAAGTCACCCACTTATGAATTAATAAAGTTCTCGGGGTGAGAAGAGAGATTAAGAGACAGAGACCGAGAAAGAGAGAGAAGAGAGAGAGAGAGAGAGAGAGAAAGAGAGAGAGAGAGAGAGAGAGAGAGAGAGAGAGAGAGAGAGAGAGAGAAGGCTTATCTGCTATCAATAAGGGTGTCCAATTAAATGTTTGTAATAAAAAGAGATTTTGAGGGTGCGAGAGGAGGAGGAGGAGGAAGGGGGGGGGGGGGCGAGGCGGAGGAAAAGAAGGAGTGTGTCGAAGATGAGAAGGGCTTCATTAATTAAAGGTAAAAATATAATTCAAAAGAAAAATGCCTTTACCACCTTTCTCTCTCTCTCTCTCTCTCTCTCTCTCTCTCTCTCTCTCTCTCTTTCGCTCAGCTACTCATGTCCTCATAACAGCTTCACTAACCCCCCCCCCCCCCCCCCCCCCGGCAGCGTGCAAGGAACAATGCCTCGATTAAGGTCCTCAAAGGCACCTGAAAAGCACCAACTGTTGGTCTCGTGGCCCTTTGTCTTAGGGAGAGAGAGAGAGAGAGAGAGAGAGAGAGAGAGAGAGAGAGAGAGAGAGAGAGAGAGAGAGAGAGAGAGAGAGAGGGAGAGAGAGAGATAGAGAGAGATTCAGCAACCAGTTCCTGTGACAGGTTGACATCCGTACCCTTGTTGGGGGAAAGGAAGGGGAGGGAGGGGAGGAGGGGAGGAGGGGGGATGGGGTGCAAACTCCCCCCTCCCCCCCATTGATGAGTCAGGGTTTTGGGGGGGAAAGAGGGGAGAGGGAGAAAGGGGAAGAGGAGGGAGGAAGAGGGGGAAGGGAGGAGGGAGGGATATAAGTTCAACAAGCTGTTTAACCGGTAATTTTTAAAGAGTGACAAGTTGGTTTGAGGGAACAAGGGGGGGGGGGAAGGAGGAACTGAGAGAGAGAGAGAGAGAAAGAGAGAAAGAGAGAGAGAGAGAGAGAGAGAGAGCGAAAGAGAGAGAGAGAGAGAGAGAGAGAGAGAGAGAGAGAGAGAGAGAGAGAGAGAGAGAGCGAGCGAAGGGGAGGCCTATATTTAACTCTCAAGATGAGTCACTGCACTTAACCTCCAGCACTCACCCCACCCTCCTTTCACCCCCACCCAAAAAGAGGGGAGAGAAGAGAAGGCCAGAGGGGAAGAAGAGGGTTGTAGGGGAAAGGAAAAGGGGAAAAAACTTTCAATTATTCATCCCTCTCATCATGACTCATCACCATTGCCATCCGTTTTCGCCTGTGATTCTTCCTCCTCTTCCTCCTCCTCCTTCATCCCCCCCCCCTCTCTCCTCCTCCTCCTCCATTTCTCCTCTCCCTCCTCCCCACTTCCCTCTCTCTCCTCCCCCCCTCCCCTCCCTTCCCCTCTCAAGTCAGCGGTCTTCGTAAGGCCCTCTAATGGGGAATTATTTTATTAGCCGGATTAATGTAATTGGATACCGTGTACGATGGAGTGTCCAGGGTGACATTCCGCACCCTCCCTCCCTCCCTCCCTCCTCCCTCCTTCCTCATATCCTCTCTCCCACCCCCTCTCTCTCTCTCTCTCTCTCTTTCTCTCTCTCTCCCTGTTCTTCCTTTCCTCCCTCCTTCCCCCTCTCTCTCCTGATCTTCCTCCCTCTCTCCCTTATCTCCCTTCCCTCCCTATTCCTCCCTCTCTATCTCCCCCTTTCTCCCAAACGATAACTAAACGCTAAAACACAAACGACTCACACGACTTGGGAAAAAAAGCCCCATCTAACAATAAACAAAAATAAATAAACAGATAAAGGAAACCCAAAATAACTCCACAAATAAACAGACAAAAGAAACCCAAAGTAACTCAATAAAAGAATAAACCAAACAACCTCACACGACTTGGAAAAAAAGCCCCATCTAACAATAAACAAAAATAAATAAATGAATAAAAGAAAGCCTCAGCCTCGACTCACCGATGAAGTGGATGGCCTCGTCGAAGTACTGCCTGAGGTTCTGGTGGCCCGAGTCCATGGCCGGGAGCGTCTTGTAGCAGATGCCCGAGTCTTGGTGGTAGCCGGGCACGTGCGCCGTGACGTTCAGGACCCGCGTGATGCCCAGCGCCTGAGGGGGGGGAGAGGAGGGGGGACGTTAGTGGAGAGTCGCGGTGGTCGTGATGGTGAAGGTGAGGAGAATGATGAGACAGCGGCAATATTGATAATAATAATCACAAGGACATAAACAATAACGATAATAATAATAACAAGCACATAAAAAATAATGATGATACTAATAAGAAGAACAATAACAACATCAGCATGAATTACAAAATAAATAAAAAATCCGAGAGCGGTCGTCCTCACCTGCAGTAGCCGGAGGTCCTGCGCGTCGCGGGCGTTGCCGATGTAGAGGAAGGGCAGGATCTCGGACGCCTTGGCCTGGTCGATGGCACTCTCGTTGCCGGGGGAGGGCGGGATGGCACCGGGAGGCACTCCGCCCACACTGAGGCACACGCCCGCGGGGTTGTAGGGCGGCTCGTAGCAGGGCGCGGCGTCCAGGTCGTCTCGGGACCTCATGAGGGCGTCCTCGCACAGCTCGGGGTAAAGCCGCTCGAACGCCTGGAAGCCGCCTGCGGAGGGGGAGAGGGGCGTCAGTGGGCGGCGGAGGGGGGGGGGGAGAGGCAGCGAGTGGAAACGCACGCGGGAAAGGTGAGAACGCAGGGGGAGGGGGGCAGGGGGGAGAGGGGGAAGGGAAGTGGGGAGGGGCAAGGGCGTCTCTCAATTTCTTCCAAAGTCAAATGCAAAATGGGATTTAATTCTCACTCGATATAATTCCATGATTTGATTGAAAACAACAACAACAACAACAACAACAACAACATACACAGATACAAACACACACACACACGCACACATACACACACAGGTGACTCACACTAACAAGCTGTCACCTGAGCTGTAGAGAGAGTGCAAAGAAAAGAGAGAAAAAAAGAAAAAGAAGAAAAAAAGATGAAATGATGACAATCTTTTTATCACAGTCCAATAAAATGCAAATAATTTACTAAAAAAAAAAAAAAAATGTAGAGAAGAAAGGAGGGGAAGAAATAACTTTTCTCGCATGGGGGGGGGTGAAGAGAGAGGAAGAGGGAGAGGGAGAGGAGGGAGAGAGAGGAAGATGGGGAAGAGGGAGGGGAGAGGGGGGAGGGATGGGGGTTAATCCACAGTAGCTCACGTGTATACGCCCCCTCCCCTCCCCCCACCCCCTCCCCGTATCAGAATTTCCAAGAACAAGATCTTCGTAATTCATATATCATTGTCATGGGGAAGGGGGGGCAGTGAGGACGGGGGGGGGGGGTAAAATACAATCCACTGGGATCAAGTGTACACACGTATACACGTGTACACACCCACACCCACACACATATCTACTTCTCTCCATGTGTATCTTTACACCCCCCCCCCCCCTCCCCTTGCAACAGGTGTACAGCGGCGCTTCCAAGGACACAAGAGAGTCATGAGGGGAATACAGGTGTGGGAGGCTACAGGTGTTGCTGACTCAACGACCCTCCCCCCCCCTCTCTCTCTCTCTCTCTCTCTTTCTCTCTCTCTCTCTCTCTCTCTCTCTCTCTCTCTCTCTCTCTTCCACACACAAACACACGCACAAAGGTCGAGTAACAACCAGTTGCCAGCTTCGTTGAGTCATACAGACGTCGTAGCATATCTCTCTCTTTCTCTCTTTCTCTCTCTCTCTCTCTCTCTCTCTCTCTCTCTCTCTCTCTCTCTCTATCATATGTAGACAGTGGAAAGACAATTCTGCAGCGCACGAATGCATGACAATTTTCCTTCGCCTTGTGTTATGCAGCCGTTTTGTGAATGGCGCTATGCACTGCTGTCGCTCTTGAGTTTTTTTTCCTTATCAATCTCATTATCTTCGCATGCCGCCTCTGTTACTCATTCCCTCGCTTCTTCCCCCAACATCGTAATAACTCATAACAAATAACAATTCTTCCATAGCCACGTACTGCTGTGTTCTATCCCGGCCGATTAAAGGACTTTTGCGCTTGGCTGTGCTACGTCACGTGACATCCTCGACTACCTTAACAGTACGTGTCTTCAGAAATAATCTAGGACAGGTGAAAAGCAAGGGTGGGGAGGGGGGAGAGAAGGAAGGAAGGAAGGAGGGAGGGAGGGAGGGAGGGAAGGGATGGTGTGTGTGTGGGGGGGGGGGGGGAAGACCGGTTTGGAAAGTAGACAATGTTACACACGGAGATTTTGGAGAGAGGAGGGAAGGGAAGAGGGAAGAGAGGAGGGGAGGACGGTGGGGGATGGGGAAGAGGGGAGGAAGGGAGGGAGGAGGGAAGGAAAGAGAAGAGAAGAGAACGGAGAAGAGGAGGAGGAGGAGGAGGGTGTGACGCTCCCAATCTAAACCAGGGGCAGCCCCTTAACCCTCCCCCCTCGCCTTCACCCCCCCCCTCAGTGCCACGCCAGACAAACAAGATCGGAATTGAAGATGACATGGGGGGGGGGGGTGAGGCTTTCTAAATCCCCCCCCCCTCGCTCCCGCCCTTTTTAAAAACAATAACAAAATCACGGCGCCATTAGCGACCTTACAGGAGGCAGGAGCAAAGGGCACAGCGTAGACACTTCGCATCATGAGAGAAGAATTTGTGTGTGTGTGACGTGTGTGTGTGTGTGTGTGCGTTCGTGTGTCTGTATGTGTGTACGAATATGTAAGTATGTGTATGTACGTGTATGCATATGTATGTCTATGTATGTGTACGTGGGTGTAAGTATATACGTGTATGAATGCGAGTGTGTACGTGCGTGTGTGCGTGCGTGTGACGTCGAAACTTCATCTTTGGGGAGGCCGTGACGTCAGAGCGAGGCGCCCACACGCACTCGCATTCTGATCACAACCTCGATATCTGGAACCTCTCTTTCTAATGACTTTACTAGCCTTCTAACTCGTTATTACTATTCTTATTACAAATTATCATCGTCAATATTGTCATTGTGTGTGTTATTATTGATGTTATTTAATCATTCGGGGCTTATTTGGAAGCGGCAATCCTCCTTAGAAATCTATTTTTGATACCAAAACCCTAACGTTTATCATTTTTTTCGCTCTGTGAATAATGTTAATTCATCTAATGCCACGGCCTTCTGCAACATCACACGCGGGTGTACATAGACGCCAACAGTCCAAAATCATCAGCAAAAAAATAGTTCCGGATCCCATCCATCTTTAGCTCATCACCATCACCACCAACACCATCCTCAGTGTAACCTGTCAACAACGTCGGTAAACAAACAGTAAACAAACACAAACGCGTCACCCAAAGAGGCACCAACCCTCCCTTCACCCTTCCCTCCCTCCTTCTCTCCTTCCTCCCTTCCTTCCTTCCCTCTCCCTCTCTCTCTCTGCGCTTCCCTCCTCCCTTTCCTCCTTCTCTCTTCCCTTTTCTCCCTCCCTCTCTCCTTCCCTTCTCTCCCTCTCTCTCTCTCTTCCCTTTCCTCCCTCTCTCTTCGCTTCCTCCCCTCCTCCTCTCCCTCCCCCCCAGTTCATACCATCCATTATTGCACAGTGTTGCAAGTCTAGGCATCTGCAAAGTGCGTTTCTGGCCAGCGAGTACGTCGGGGGTCGTCGGCTGTGGGTTTTATTACTTGGGGAACTGCTATTAATTGCTATTCTGTTAGAGCGAGAAAGAGAGAGATAGCATATTCCCCCCCCCCCCCCCTCTCTCTCTCTCTCTCTCTCTCTCTCTCTCTCTCTCTCTCTCTCTCCTTCCCTCCCTCCTTCCTTTATATCCCTCCTTCCCTCCTTCCCGCCACGAAAATGCAACCGAGCTAGCAGGAGTATGACTCACGTCCCTTACCGAGGGATCCCAGATGTAATTTCAAACCCGAAGTCATTTTCTCTTGTGCTCTTTTTTTTCTTCCTTTTCCTCTAACCTGTAAATGCAATTGCGTCATAATATCCCCTCATTGCAAGCAACACGCCGAAGGGGTCATTTTCCTGTCATAACGTAATGTCTCTCGTGTTATGCATTGTTGTGTGTGTGTGTGTGTGTGTGTGTGTGTGTGTGTGTGTGTGTGTGTGTGTGTGTGTGTGTGTGAGAGAGAGAGAGAGAGAGAGAGAGAGAGAGAGAGAGAGAGAGAGAGAGAGAGAGAGAGAGAGAGAGAGAGAGAGAATCACAGAAACAAAAGAACAGAGTACATTTCAGCGCAGAGCAAATTGAGAGACAAAAAAACAACAACAAAAAAACACAAGCTCCCACTCCCAACGCTCTCGAAATATGCCACAAAAGAAACAACGAAAAACAGAAGAAAAAAATGAAAGAAAAAGAAAAAAAAAGAAAATACACTTAAAAGAAACTCAGAGTATGTGTGTTAAAGCCGTGAATCAGCCGCTTATGGTCAAGTAACCGCCTGATTCATGGTGGCCCAGGCCTGCCAACCTTCCCTCCCCACCCCCCCTTACACCTGCTGCAAGCCTGCCAACCTTCCAACCTCCCCCCCCCCCCTCTTACCTGCTGCAAACCTGACAACATAGCACGTTTTCGCCCCCCCCCCCCCGCCCCCACCCCCTCCTCTAGACTTTTAAACACCCTACTTACGCAACGAGTTAAAATGCCAAAATAGATTTTTTTTTCTTCTTTTAGAAGTAGGTTATAAAAGATGCGAAATGCTCTTTGGAGACTATATGCGGCTATTCAGTAGCGAGAAATAAGAGGGTTTTAAAAGACCGAACTCACGGAGGCGAGAGGAAGCCGACGCGAAGCAGAACCGGGAAAGTAGAAATTGTCACGCACTGGACTTCTTCCTCCCTCCCTTCCTCCCTCACTCCTTCCCTCCCTTCCTCCCTCCCTTAATCTTTTCCTCCTTCCCTCCCTTCCTCTTTTCCTCCCTCCTTCCCTCCTCACTCTCTCCTCCTTCCCTTCCCCCTCCTTCCTCCTCCCCCTCCCCCTTCCTCCCTTCCTCCCTACTCCCTCCTCCCCTTCACCTCATTGTTGCCAGGTTAGGCCTTCGCAGAAAGAGAAAGAGAGAAACGAGAAAGAGAGAGCAAAGAAAAGCCAGATGAAAACTCGGTCCTAAAACTTGCTTTAAAAAAAAGAGAGAGAAGGGGTGTGGGGATGTGGGGGAGAGGGGGGAGGGGGATCACATTAAGCCCAAAATAAAACAGGTTCTTTCGCCGCCACGATCAGCAGAGTCGAACAGAGCGTAGCGTCATCCCCCCCCCCTTTCTAAGCACCTTCCTCTTCCCCCCTCCCCTTCCCCTCCCTCTCTCCCCCCTCTCCCTCAGCACCTTCCACCCTCCTCTCCCCCTCCCCCTCCCTCCTCCCCTCCCCCATCCGAAGCCTCGAGCTGCTTCTGCAATTGCTCCGTGTTGCAGCGGAGACTGACCTCCCACGCACACTCAAGGAGGAATGAATGGGTTCGAGGATGAAACTTCCTTTTCTCTCTTCCTTTTCTGGGTGAGGGACAGATGTGTGTGTATATATATATGTATATATATATATATATATATATATATATATATATATATATATATATATATATGTGTGTGTGTGTTGTGTGTGTGTGTGTGTGTGTGTGTGTGTGTGTGTGTGTGTATATATATATATATATA